GGATGTCAGGGTAACTAGGAACCAGACACCAGAAGAGCCCGATGGGCAGTCTACTTTCCAGAAGAGGAGCTGAGGAACACTGTTCCAGAGGTGGGCCTCGGCTGGAGGAGGAGGGTCCTTCTGCATCCATAAACAGCCTTTCCCCCTGCATCTTTCTGGGGCTCTCACACATCACGCCACTCCTCCAGGAGCCCCACCCCGTGAGGGCCTCTGTGTGGTGAGGAGGCTGGCAGCCTGACCACCAGCGTGGCCCAGGGTGGACAGTTTCATAGGCGTTACTAGGCAGCCGACAAGTCTTCCCAAAATCAGCCACTGAAAACCCACAGATCACGACAGCATGTCGTCCAGCGCAGGGCTCGAAGGCACCTCCCAAGCACCCCAACAATGGACCCAAGCGCCCCAGAATCGTGAAGATGGTGGACCAGACATTTCATTCTGTTACATGGAAGCCTGCCCTGAGTCAGGGTCAACTCAACCTCACCTACCAACCCCAGGACACTGGGGTTCCCTGCACCCCCTCATTACTGTGCTTTCCTAGGCCTTGAAGACCAGTCCCCAAAGCCACTCCGCAAATGGTAAGTGGGGCCAAGACAAGGTTCTCGGTGGGGCCTCCTCAGCCACCAGCCAACCCTTGGGGGAACCTTGTGTTCCCCAGCAGTGCCGGCTGGGTTATTTTCAGAGAAGAGGTGAAGGCAGTAGCTCTTCCTCCCTCTACCTGGGCCGGAGGCCAGGATGGCTGTGTATTTGGGAGAGTAGAAGCCACGATGAGAATTAATGGCAGATAGAAAGGGGTGTCAGGGGTGTATAGGAGAGCAAGGGCTCACCCTCTGCCTAGTTCCTTCAGTCGCCTAAAGCCAGAAACCCACCCTCACCCCTGCCCTGTTAGACCCAAGTCTTCGGGGAGAACAGGCAAGTGGCAGAGACCAGTTTAGACCAGTGGTTCAGAGAAGATAAAAAGGTCCACAGTTCCCTGGACACGACAGATAAGAAGTCCAACCAGCCCTCA